TCTTATGATGTTAGCTTTTTACAGATCAATGGATGACTCAGTGTTGGTTTCATGCTATCAGGAATATTGTAGATGAAATAAAGTGTAAACATGACAGTGCACTTAGAATGTAAGATAGTTAGTTAACTGTTAACTTATTAACAGCTGGGACTTCCTAGCTGAAGTAAATCAGAGGTTTGTAATAATAAACATTTTATTCATTATACCCTTTCCTTAAAAAAAAGGTTTGAAATGTTCTGCTGTTAGAGGCACACATAAATATTTAATATTTTTTTAAAATAAGTTGAAATAATTTTGTCATACTTAGACTAGTATTTATGAGTTCTGGGGCTTCTTTTGTGTGTTTCTTTTTAAAGTTTGTTGTAGAGCCTTTCTAGTCTGCGTTGCTGTACATCCACTTGCTTGTGAAATTAAAAAGAAAAAAACCTAAGAAATGAGAGCATGCATTTTTCTGTTTGCTGACAACATGAAGTCAAAAGTTTGTACCTGTGTTTTAAAAAGTCTTATAACTTTAAACAATGACAGCATTACTGTATCTGAACATACAAAAGAAATATGAATTGCTTTCAGTGTTCTGTCATTTGCGTTTTGTGATGTATCTGAATACAATAATACAGCATTTGTGAATATAAATATTTTTCTCTGCTTTCCAATTTAACAGTGCAGGCAAACAAAATGGTTCACATTTGACCATCAACTTCATATTCCATAATGAGATGCTTAATAAGTAATATTGTATGTAATATTTTAGAAAATTATAAAGCAGGAGAATAATTTTTTTTTAGTTTCCTTCTGAGAAAATAACAGGACCCAAATTTTGAATTGAGCAAAGGCTGGAGTCCCCCAAAGCATTGACTCTGTGCCCATTGACTTACACCTACATAAGCTCAACTAAGCACTCGGTGCTTTAACTGAGTTATGTATTTGTTTGTTTATTTGGATCCACAGCCACTAGTTATTTTATCTTGTCCCTGCCCAACAACCACCACTTTGAATAAACCACGTTTTACCGCTTTGGAAAATTCCAAATCCACAATCTGCTTTTCCCATTTCCTGCAGGGGAATCAATATCTCATGAGAGAATTATGTTAAAATGTCTGCTGCTGTTGACACTGGGGAGAAGGTGCTTTGCCTGCGTCTCAGCTTGTGCAAGAGAAACTAACTGAGTGATCCCATCTGGAGCCAGGGGGCAACAAAATGGTGGTGCAAATCCACCCTGGCGACTTGTACCGGTCCAGGGCCAAAGGGGGTGGCGGCTCTCTTACTTTTTTCACCAGGCCAGCTCCATGCTGGTGTAGCCGAGGGCCCGTGGGGGTTCCAGGGATCCAAAGGTGCTCTGCCTCTGGTTCTTATTTGCTTCCTACTGCTAGAACTGGCAAGGGTCGCTTTCAGCACACCTGGGCAAGCCCAGGACCTCCTTTCTGTTGACAAGAGGCCAGCAGATAGGAAACTACATACCATCCTAACCCCATCCCAGACATCAAGACTGGGGGTGGGTTAAACTGGATTCCTAAAAACACTTAACTTTGGGTGAGTCCCGTCTAGCTAAGTGGGACTTATATCTGAGTAAACATGCAAATAAGGGCCTCAGTTGCCTATTCCTAATTTAGATATTTGCAGACTTAACAACCTTCTGAAATTCCTGCAGAATACAAGAAGGGTAACACTCTCTAATAATCGAGTTTCTGGCATTCTGGGTGGCACAAAATAAACTACTGTTCTACCTTAAAATTAGTCTGACCTGCGTCCCATTCTGATACTGCCTAATTCACTCCCAAATCTCTTCCCAAAAGCTTGTCGGGTACCACACCCTCCAACATTTATCCAATGGAAATAGGGTTGTCCTAAGAAAAAGCGGGGCATTCTGGGATCAGATCGGAAACCAGGACTGCCCCTGGAAAATAGGGACACTACTGGCCGGGAACACTTTTGAGCGTTAATACTTTGCACAAGCAGAAGATACTCCAGAGAGAACTCACTAGCATCTTTCATGCTCCAAATCCTTTACCTCATCCTAGGAAAATATTTGGACATTTTCAAGATGGAGTCTGCACAAGACATAACACCTCTGTGGTCCAAGGAACTAGTTATTTAGAACGAAGGAGAAGATATACTTGTACAGTATCTGCACAGCCTTTATGTACCCTCCATTCTTCTCCTTAGTTTTGTTTTGTTACAATGGATTATAATATTTAAGAAAATGTGATATCATTTTTAAAAATAAGTATGTACCACAAACCTACAAGGCAACTTGTAATTATCACTTCTTATTGGAGAGGTTTCTTTATTAGGTTTTTATTCTACCCTCCCACCAAGTAAATTAGGGAAGAACACAGAGTTTCCCCTTCCCACACGCCATTCCATTCCAGAGCCCCTGATCATCCAAGGTGTGGTGGGGTGGTCAGAAAAGAGGGCACCTTCTTCTTCATTGTTCTTGGAAGTCAGCTCTTTCAGGGGCAATTCATTTAACTGATTTGGTCTCCCATATAAATATTTTCAACTGCTGCCATTTATTATTTCATTGTTATATTTATTGCTTTCAGTCTGTTTTAAGCCACCTTGAGTGCCCATTATAGAAAGATGGGACAGAATAAACTTCTGTAATAAATAAACAAATACACAGGATTAAAAAACAACTATTAAGGAGGTTCGGCTGGGAGAGAATTACTAGCCCAAGGTTACCCAATAAGCTATGCGGCTGAAAAGAAATTTGTATTGGCAGGAGCCAGGCCCCAAATGTATCCTATAAATATGGCATGAAGGAAATGTTCCTAGCAAACCATTGGGGAAACTATGAATACATTTCCTTTTGGCTACTGCTAAAGCAACTGGCAGTCATTCCTTTCAGAAGGTTAAGCCTTCAGTCCCACTTCCCTTCCAGCTGCTAAAAGAGAGACAAAGTTAGCATTCAGAGGAAAAAGGAAGAACATCCTTCTGATATACAAGCCAAATCTATAAAGGAGAGCAAAGTATGCATATGTATGTATCTATATCAATGCAACAGTCCTTAACAAAGCAAATGAAGTTAGCCCATCAGCGACATACTGCTTTCTTAAAAGGTGATTTCTTGTGATATCTTCAGGAAGGTAAAGCAGCATCTTAGAGCATTAATTGAAACCTGCTAATAATAAATGTGCTTAGGAATACACAACCTCAAAGAAAACTACTGACACCACTGACAGACATTTCGCAGAAGGATTTTATTAGACAAAGAATTTGGTTTCAGAATGATCTCACCTTTTAAAAAAGCTATTCTCTGACCATAAAGAAGGCTGATCGCTGAAGAATTGATGCTTTTGAATTCTGGTGCTGGAGAAGACTCTTGAGAGTCCCATGGGCTGCAAGAAGATCAAACCTCCCCATTCTGAAGGAAATCAGCCCTGAGTGCTCACTGGAAGGACAGATCCTGAAGCTGAGGCTCCAATACTTTGGCCACCTCCTGAGAAGAGAAGACTCCCTGGAAAAGACCCTGATGTTGGGAAAGATGGAGGGCCCAAGGAGAAGTGGACGACAGAGGACCAGATGGTTGGACAGTGTTCTCGAAGCTACCAGCATGAGTTTGACCAAACTGCGGGAGGCAGTGGAAGACAGGAGTGCCTGGCGTGCTCTGGTCCAGGGGGCACGAAGAGTCGGACACGACTGAACAACTAAAAAACAACAAATTCTCTTGTTCTTGTACAGTACTTTTTTGCCCTGTCTGTTCTGTGCCACAGGGTTCTGTGCCTGTTCAACATCTTTATAAATTACTTGGATGAAATAAATTTAAAAATTTAAAAAATGTCCAGTTGCACCTTAGAGACCAGCTAAGTTTGTTCTGGGTATAAGCTGTCGTGTGCATGCACACTTCTTCAGATACCTGAAGAAAAGCTTATACCCAGAACAAACAGTTGGTCTCTAAGGTGTTACTGGACAATTTTAAATTTTTTTTATTTATTTCGACTGCGTCAGACCAACACAGCAACCTGAATCTAGATACTTGGATGAAGTTATTGAAGGGATGCTCATCCAATCTGCAGATGACATCAAACTGGGAGGGGTAGCTAATGCCGCAGAAGACAGAATCAGAATACAAAATGACCTTAACAAATTGGATAACTGGGTCTAGGCTAACAAAATGAATTTCAATAGAGACAAATGTCAGGTTCTATATTTATGCAGGAAGAACCAGCTGCAAAAATATAAGATGGGGAACATCTGGCTTGTCTGTAGTACATGTGTAAAGGATCTAGGGATCTTAGTGAACCACAAACTTCATATGAGTTAACAATGTGATGCAGCACCAAAATAAGCTAATGCTCTTCTCAGCTGCATCAAAAGCAGTATAGAGGTCTGGAAGTAATAGTCCCACTCTATTCTGCCTTGGTCAGACTACACCTAGAATACTGTGTCTGGTTCTGGGAGCCACAATTTAAGGATATTGACCAGCTGCAATGTGTGCAGAGGAGGGCAACCAAGATGATCAAGAGTCAGGAAACCAAGCCTGATGAGGAATGGTTGAGAGTTGAATATGTTTAGCCTGGATAAGTGTAGACTGAGAGGAGATATAATAGCCATCTTCAGATAGCTCTGGGGCTGTCAACATTCTAACTTGAATGTGGTGCCACAGGGCAGGCACCACCACCAAGAAGGCCCTCTGCCTGGTACCATACCTGGTGCTTGTTGAGTTTTCTAGCCACATCTTAGGCATACAGTAGTAGGCCCACAACTTACTTGGGGCTTATGTTCCAGGGACTGCACCTAAAGCCAAAATCACATATAGTGAAAACCCATTGGGTTTAGTGGCAGGTGGGATTACCAAAGTCATTTTCCCCTGAACCCTGCCTCCTTTCTGCCTCTTCTTCTTTTTCCCCATGCACTGTAATATAGCTGCACACAAGTTGTGGACTTACTGTACTCACTGAGAAAGGTCTCCACTGGATTTAGTGGGACTTACTGTATGGGCTTTAAAAAATGTGTGTCACAAGTTGATAAAAGCTTCACAATTATTGTGTTGTCAATAATTACGGTTAGCAGCTTTTAATAAATGTAAATATTAAAGGGGAGCACAAGTACATACATAAAACAAATCCATATTCTGAGCCTGATTTAACTTAAAGCTGGGCATATGCAGAGGTGCCAAGTAGAGCTAAGAGACAGCGTAGTGAACACCCCAATCCTTCATGCCTTTTCTTCTTTCTGCAGTGTTTTCCAGAACTTGGACGGCAATCCCGCAGCCCGGCAAAACTCCCGCCGCGGAATGTTCGGCTGGCGGAGGCGCCTTCTCTGCTCCAGCTCCGGGGCTGGCGGAGCACGAAGCCTCTCGCGTCTCCCCCTTGCACGCTGCAGATTTTCCGCCGTCCTGGGAAGGGAGCGGGGAGTCAATTGCAAAGAAAGAAAGAAAGAAGGCAGGCAGGCAGGCTGGTTCTTTAAAGGGAAGGAGCGGCGGGCTTCGCACTGATTCCTCAGCCCTGCGCCGCGGAGCAACAAAAAGCACTTTCGCGAAGGTGTCCGCGTAGAAGTAGATCTGGCGAAGGAAAAGCCCTCTGGGCATGCTCAGAGGCACGCCTGGCGAGGTCGCGCGGCTAAACCTGACCCCCCAACCCAGGGCAAGCAGTGGCCTCCCGCCCTCGCCCAACTCTGCCCCCGAGGCCAGGGAGGGGAGAGCGCTCTGGACGTCCTCAGAGGCACGCTTTTCGGACGCTGCGCGGAGCCCCCCCGTCGCCCCAGCCGGGCACCTGCAGCAGCCGCGCCGCCCCCAGTTCCTGAAGCGCCCGCCTGGCCGCCTCTCTCTCTCTCTCTCTCTCTCGCCCGCCTCCTCCCTCCCTCCCTCGCTCGCTCGCTCCCGCCTGTTGCTCCCGGCCTCGTCCCGGAGCCACTTCCTCTTCCTCTCCGACGCCGCCCCCCGCCCGGAGTCGGCTCGCCTGGCGCGCCTCTTGGGGAGCCGCTCGGCCCGAGGAAGGGGGTCCCGCGAAGCGAGCGCCGCTGCGCCCCGAGAGACGGGCGGGGGCGGGCGAGACCCGGCCAGACCAAGCCCGCCGCCTCGCCAGGTAAGAAATGTCGCCCCCCCCGCGAGAGCACTTTGGGAAGGGGGGGGAGGTCGCTCTGGTCGCGGGGGCGTTTTGCCTTCGGGGAAAGAAAGGGGTCGCATCCCGAAGTGTGCTGGCGCCCGAGGCATTTCTTTTGAGGGGAGGGGGCTGTGCTCCTCCGAGCGCCGCTCCTGCCTTCGCCTGGACTCTCGTACCTGCCTTTCGAGTCCCCGGGGCGGGGGCTAAGCAGGGGGGGGGGGTCTCTTGCGCTTTGCCAGCCTCCCAATTGCGCCTCAGCCGCTTGCCCTTCAGACAGCCAAAACTTCCCAAGCCCTACTCCGTCCGGTGTAGAGGATGGAGCAGGAGGGCCAACTTGGCCCTGGCACCAAAGTGTGTGGGAATCCGACCCCTTCCTGGGGAATTTGGTGGGTGCTGGCACCCCAGGGAGTTGGCACCCATGTTATGGAACACGGGGCGCTTCCAGACAGAAGTTCGGAGCTGCTCCTTCTTGCAGGCAAGTTTTTTGCAGCTTCCACAGCTTGTCATCAAAACGCCTGCAATGCTTAACATTTAATCTGGAAACATTACTGTGGAAAACCTGAAAAGTAACGAATACTGTAAGCTGTTCCACATCTGCCCACTGCTCCTTAGCACATTTTTTCTTGGTGGGCAGTTTGTCACTTGTAGAGAGTTTCAGTGAGTGGCCTCCAAAGCCACACTATTGCTTCCATTCCAAGCCATTTTTCTTATGGAGCAGCACAGTTGATAATGAAGGTGCCCATTTCCACCAATAGCTAAAGACACGCTTGAGCTGAAGCAATCTGATCAAGAGGAGCTGTTTCCTCAGGATCTCCAGTAGAGCCAGTGTGGTGTAGTGATTGGAGTGTGGACTAGATGGCCTCCCGGAGACCAGGGCCCAAATCTTCCACTTACTATCGGAGCTGCATTGGGTGACTTATGGGCCTCTGTACTGTTCCCTTAGAGGAAAAGGTGGGGTATGTAAATAAATGAGTGAGGGAACTGGAAACTGAAATTGCGCTTTAAAATAAAATAAAAATTAATTCAAAGGTCTTATGTAAGATCTTTTATTCCTCTTGTGCAAGCCTTGGTCAGGTAAACACCACACTTGCACAATACTTTGGTATTAAGAATTAAAAACAAACAAGCAAACAGAATAGTTATTGTCCCCTCCCTAAAGCAGAAGACTTCATTTTTCCCATTGTGAAACATGATAATGAAGACTGAAGACCAAGTCGCTGGCCAGCAGTGGCAGATGGCACAACCACCACCCCATCTTCAGCCCCTCCACTTGTGTGAACAAGGGAAGAAGGGTGGTAATGGTGAAATGACCTCTTTGCTCCCAGGCTGGTGCAGCAATTGCCGTCACATGATGGCAGAAGCAGGGCCAGCTTGGGATCCAGCAAATCCTGTGCTGATACAGTACTGCATCCAAAATGCCCCATTTCAGGCAGGGATAATTCTGGTGGTATTTTCCAGCAGATTTAGTGGGCATGTTGGGACATTCTTTGCTAGTGTGGCTTCCTTGCCAACGGCAGAGCTGGGCATGGCTGGGTGGAGGGACAACTCCATCCCATCCTAATCTCATCCAGCGCAGTGGATCAGGATTTGAATTGCTCTTCCCAGCTGCTAAATTGTTCCTGCACACTTCCTGGAACTTTTTTTAAAGGTGTGCATGCACAGGTAAAGAAATATTTGTATGTATGCATTAGAATCAATGTTAAATATTTGAACTAGCTGTAATAATAAATGCAAATTTCACATTTGTTTGTAATTGTGAATTAAGGATGTATTGAAGGTGGAAAAAAGCAGGGGGGAGTGTTGTGGTAGTCCTTTTCAGAAAAATCAGCATAGAAAGAGCTAAAGTAGCCTAAAAATGAATTTTTGTTCTGTCAACATAAAAATGCTTATTTGCTGATATTTGACTTTGGACCAAACATTTTCTGCAGGATTTTTGATCAAGGTCTTGGAAGTTGAACGGACTTCCGGAATGGATTCCGTTCGACTTCCAAGGTACGTCTGTATGAGTAATAACTTTATTAGTGTTTATCTAACATGGGGGCAAAATGCAATAAAACAATTATTGAAAGTACTCAGATTACATGGTACAGAATGTGCATAACATAGCAAAGTTTCTGTTGTGTTTCTGTCTTACCAATGGGTTTTATTATTTATTACCGTATTTATTTGGAAGGCCCCATGTGTGGCTGCTACTCAAAATCCATCTCTATATGGGACATCTGTGTGATAAGCAGCAATGTTTAATGTTTCTCCAGTGGTCTTTTGAAGTGCCATGCAGACCTTGGGACAGTTGAAAGTGGCATGTGAACATAGCACATGGCAAGACCATGACATGTGGAAGAGACATGCTAGAGTTGTTTCCCCATCGGGAGGAGTGGAGAGAGAGGAAGACTAGAATCACATACCACCACTATCCTATTGGCAACCTTCCTGAACCTGGTACTCTCTAGGTGTTTCAGATGACAGCTCTCAGCCATCTAGGCTGTACTAGATGGGACTGGTGGGCATTACCTTTCAAAAAATTTGAGGAAGGCTCATCTATTGAAAAATTGAATCAGTGCAGCTCTGCTAACTCCCAGTGCAGCATTTTAATAGGGTTTTCACCACAGAGTCCCATAAGAGAATTTTTCTGGCTGACAATGGCTCTCAGTGTTTACCAGAAAGCCAGGCTGTTTCACTCTTCTTTTTCTGTCGCTTTTCTTGTAAATCTATTCTTGACCTGTGTATTTCCACAATGTCAAATTGGTAAATGAAAATTTGAACTGCTCTAGTTTTTTAGAGCAGTCTCATTAACATGGTGATTGTTGTTGTTGTTATCCATCTGCCTTGAGAGACAATGGCGTGACCTCCCTGGGGCACAGGCCTGGGCAGTATGTAAATGGAAGTCCTGGGCTGCCCAGACAACAAGACATCCCCCTCGGCCTTGCTAGTGTGGTCCAAGGTGAAGCAGAGCAATATGTTTGACTGGAGGAGTTGTTGGAAAGAGGCGCCATCCAACTGTTTTAGGGACTCCACTCTGGATTTGTGTAGAATTTATTCCTTAGCCTTTTCTTTTCCTGAAGATATCCCACAAGGCAGTGGCGGCTTAGGATCAGAGTTTTCCTTCTCCTAGATGGGCTATCTTCCCATGTTGACAAGCCCCACCTGCTCCTCATTTCCCTCTATAGCGTATGCAGAGGCCACCTTCTTAACCGATGAACCCACTATTGGTCTCGTCCACTCAATCCACCGGAGACTGTCATCGCATGCAGGGGAAGTCCCTAACTCACTGAGGGTTTGAGACCCATTGGTTACCCTCGCCTGGTTTAGCTGGTCAGTCAAATCCATTTCCTGGAATGCTGATAGCTTCTAGGAGCCACAGGTGAGAGCTGAGTGCAGCGTGAGAAGGTGGACAAACTCTACTACCGCTCCCCTAATACTCCATGGATTCTCTTCAAATGTATGAGGGTCAAAGAGTTTAAAATATGGTTTTGAAACCTAAGAATTACTTGATTGTATTGACACAACCTTTCTGCAGTTTTCCATGGCATAGTGACACAATGCGAGAGGCTGCTATAACAAAATAATATGAAGTGGTGGCAGGCTTAACAGGGAAATATTGAGAACTCATACAAAAGCATGAGACAGCCATAAGACATGTTTTCCCCCCACAGAAAATGACTCAGTCATTTTCATGAGTCTGAGGCTCCTCTTATGAATATGTTATCAAGCTTTCCAATCTTTTGGAACATTTCCCACAATAATTTACCTGCAAAGGAATCTTTGTGCAGTTGCCATTGCAGGGGATTGTTGGCATGCACATGATTCATAAGTATCAACGTACTCCATAGAACAGGCATGTGCAATATCTATTTCAGGGGCCTAATCCGGCCTCCCAGTCGGTTTAATCCAGCCCCTGTGGCAGTTTATTTCCTGGGGTAAAATCCTAAAAAAACCCTCGACAACTTCAGTCCTAAAGAAACCTCAACAACTTCAATCCTAAAGAGAGCTCAACAACTTTGGTCGGCCCTCACGGCCCTTCACTTCATCAAATCTGGCCCTCTTTGAAAAAAGTTTGGACACCACTGCCATAGAACATCTTCAGCATTTCTCTGCTGATGCACTTTGCAAGGGAGGTTACAGGCAATCTGTCTTTCTTCTCCTTTACAGATCCATTATAGAGTTAGTTATTGAGGAACACTTGGAAAACTTTTCAAGAACTCAATACCCCCCCCCAAAGCAGAGTTAGAAAGGCGCTTATTTTAGAGTATTGACTGGTTCATGTGTTTTCTGCCTTAGAAAAGTATGGTTCTGCTAGTGAATTTATTGAATTACTGGTTGCATTCACTCAGTCAGAACTAAAAATCTGAAAACATTCAGTTAAACACCAACTATGCAATTCTGTGATTCTGTGACTTTTAGGTTAAAAGTAGGAAAACCACACTTAGTCTGCTCACTGCTAGTAATTTCATGTCTCTTGCTACACTCCAGTTTTGTCTGATCTGTCCAGAAAGAGAGGCTGTTTCTTGAATGGGCAGTAAAATATTCCCAGTTCACAGCATAAACTTTCTAGACAGCTGTAGGTTTTTGCTTTTCTTTTATAGCCCTGTTACTGACCCAAATTCCAAACAATGGTCCGAAAATTTTGGGTGGGCTGGCTCTCTTCCAAGAACGTTGTGCTCCTTTTAAGATTTGGAGAGCGCACAAGCACCACTGTTCTGTAACTGGTTAAGCTTTCAGCAAAGGACAAG